AACCCTTAACCTAACGCTAAACCTAACCCTTAACCTAACCCTTAACCTAACGCTAAACCTAACCCTCAACCTAACTCTAAATCTAACGCTAACTCTTAACCTAACGCTAAACGTAACCCTAACGCTCTAAACCTAACCCTTAACTTGGCCCTAAATCTAACCCTAAACCTAACCGATAATGTAACTCTAAATCTAACGCTAACTCTTAACCTAACGCTAAACGTAACCCTAACGCTCTAAACCTAACCCTTAACCTAACCCTAAATCTAACCCTAAACCTAACCGATAATGTAACGCTAAACCTAACGCTAACCCTTAACCTAACGCTAAACGTAACCCTAACGCTCTAAACCTAACCCTTAACCTAACCCTAACCCTGACCCTGACCCTTACCTTTATGTGAATCGGCTTGCTTTAATTTTAATTTTATTTCAATTTTTAATTTTTTCGTCGCGCTGTGATGACGTCACGTGCGCTTTCGGCGAGCACGATTTTGTCCTCCGCGCTTTTGACGGGTCACGAACTGAACTTGGCTTCCCCATTGACTCTGCTTCTCAGAAGGTGATCACATGACCCCGGGACACTGGGGCTGTCATAAATATGAGTCCATTGCCAAGCATCTGAATTTTGATCATGTGACCATGGGGATGCTGCAATGGTTGTAAGTGTGGAAAACTGTCCTAAGTCACATTTTTCAGTGATGTAACTTTGAAAGCTTACAAAATGAAAGGCTGTAAGTATGGGGTTTGAGTTATGACTGAACATTTACTGGGAAAAAAGGGTACTGTATGCATCGGTATGCTTCTATCCCTTTGTAATATGGAAATGAGAGTTTGATCCATAGGAAAGTGGACTGCAGTGGGAATGGACTATTTAAATCCACTGAGAATGCCAAAAGAGGCAGGCTCAGAACTAAATGGTGCTGAATGAATGTAAATGCAATGCAATTATTTAGGCAAAATGAATGAGAACCAAATATATGAAGGAAGAGCAAAATAGCTAAGGAGAAGGTTGAGAAAGTGGTGATGTTTTATAACCTCTTCAGAAGCAGGCAAAAAGTAGAAAAATAGAAAAAATAAAATAGAGAAAATAGAAAAGGCCATTTATAAAGCAGGGCATGGATATGGCTGGGGTAATTCAATATTTGCAAAGACAGAAAGGTACAGAGTGCTATATTGAATGATAGCTTCATATAAATTAGATTTAGTAAAATACATTTTAGGTTTATTTAGCTTTTTTTTGCAAGAGTGTTCCTTTTCACATGTACGTTGTCTGCTAAAGGGTCTCTTTGCTGCTTAAATGAAAGAACGAAGTGATTCTTTTTTTTCTTGCTCCCTCCCTTTGGAGCAAGTGGAGGGGAGTTCCTGTTGCAGTGGTGCTTCCAGAAGAATAGTGGCAAAGCTTTGTAACTTCTTAGTGAAATACACACAGGAAATGAAACTAGGGCTGTGGCTTAAGTATTCCTAAATATGCTACTTGAAAAGCTACTCACTTGCCCTTAGGACAATTTTGTGTGTGTGGGGGGGGGAGGAATTTCAAGTTTGTTGCTGCAGCCTTCCCTGAGAAGGATCACCACATTTGGATGCCAAACACTGCTCTCCAGGCTCTTTAGATTCTGTAGCTTCGCAAGTAATCACCCCACTGCACACAAAAGAAGTTGTGCCCAGGCCCTGTTCAGAAGGGCAGGACACATTACAGCGCCACAACACTAAGAAAAACGGAAGAGAAATGGTTGCTTGACGTCTTTCTCTTTAACGGCTATCCAAAAAACTTCATATTCTGACACGCTATACCACACAGCCAACCACCACACAAAAACAAACCTTACCATACACAAAAGGGATGTAGGAAATGACTGCCAGAATTCTCCAACCTCTTGGAATAGCAATAGCCAACACACCCACACTTCACCAGGAATTTTCCAGAGCCAAAAGCAAGGTAGGATTAAAAGAAACAACATACTCTACAAAATCAACTGTAACCATTGCAACCAATTCTACCTGGGACAAACAGGATCCACGAACATCAGCTGGCAGTCAAATGCCACGATCCCAAATCCTTAATCTTTAGTCACACTGACACCAAGCAGCACCCGTTCGATTGGAACAACACAAAAAATCATTGGTTATGCTACCACCTGACACGCTCATGAGTTCATCAAAGCCTGGCACTCCACAAGCAATTCCATCAACAGACACATTGACCTACAGCCCCCAGAATCCAAATCAACCACACACAGCTAACCAGAGACAGCACTGACACTCAAGCAAATCCAGGCAAGCCCTGCCCCCACCAGCACTTCACCTGATGTAACCTCCCCATCACAAAGCCCATCACAAAACTCTCACTGATGACTCACCTGACCCACCACAAGACCCTCACTTGACACACACACACCTGACCCATCCCAAGACCTACTAACCACATAAAGTCCTTATAAATGGAAGAACACTGACATCACCTAAACCCCGAATATATTATCTAGCCTGGTAATGAAACATTCAGAAACCAGCCCACAAGGTCGGACTATGAACCTTCAGCCTCATCTATAGATTCTGCCTGTTCCTGGTAGAAGAGGGGATCCAACTGACATCCAGGGTGAGAGAGGAGTAGCTGGCTCTCAGTGGCGCCACTTGTCTCCTGATAGTGTACCTCCTTGTGACCCAGAAAACGTTCCCTCTGGACACATTGCAGTTCAGAGCCACTAAGGAGAGATGCTGATACGGAGAAGGTAAGCCGTGGAGTTGTATACTGTTAACCGCCCCCTACTTCAACAAGGGGGAACTCCTGGAGACCCTGGGAGGGAGAGGAGCAGAACCCAAAGGACCAGGAGGCCAGCAGCCCAGAGGAGCACATTCCTTGTCCCTGCAGCCTAGAGACCTCCCAGAACTGGGTCTTTATAAACGCTTGAGCAACACAGGGTGCCAGGAAGAGCTGGTGGGCCCGGAGGGCGGGTGCTTCTCCTTGCAGTCCCCTGTGCGCTGATGGCCTCTTCTTCCCCGTCTCCGAAATCGAAGCATTGGAGGCGGTTATCCGGCTGCCGGTCGCCGTTAGGGCTTATCACGAGCTGGAGACCAGAAACGGCTCCCGAAGGAGGCAAGACGATAAGAGTGCTGGCTTGGGGCTGGGAGCTTCTGCAACGAGCCACACCTCTGCTGCATCCCAAGAAGGCCAGGCTGCGTCTCTAGTCCTCCACCCCAACCCCAAACTCCGGAGGCGACAAGCCCGGTGCAGCGGCTCCTCGGAGAAAAAACCTCCCGGCCGCCCCCCCCCCATCCTTCTGGATCGGGACTTGCCTAGAGCAGGAAGAATGAGGTGCAGGGGACGGGGAGAGTGGGGAGAGGCGATCCCTAGCACAGCCCCCAGTTGCAGCGCAGGCGATCCCTTCCAGCCTTCGCCATCCCTCCCCAAAGGGCACTGGGCTGTTCCCATCTCACCACCCGCAGGTCTCGCGTTTTCACCTTCGCAAGCCCTTAGCCCGCTCCCCTTTCTCTTATTCCGTGGCTTTTCTTGCTCAAAATCCTTTCGGGGAGGGGTGGAGCAGGAATGTCAAAAGTGTTTTAGATAAGATCACATACCAGTGGAGAAATTCAATTTTTTTTACTACCGGTTCTGTGGGCATGGCTTGGTGGGCATGGCGAAGGGGAAGGATACTGCTAAATCTCCATTCCCTCCCCACTCTGGGGCCAGCCAGAGGTGGTATTTGCGGGTTCTCCAAACTACTCAAAATTTCCGCTACCGGTTGTCCAGAACCTGCCAGAACCTGCTGAATTTCACCCCTGATTAGTACCGCTTGATGAAGCCCTCGTTAAGACCACACCTGGAATACTGCAACCAGTTTTGGTCACCACGCTACAAAAAAGATATTGAGATTTTGGAACAAGTTCAGAGAAGAGCAGCTAAGGTGATCAAAGGCCTGGAGGCTAAAACATATGAAGAACGGCTGCAGGATTTTGGTTTGGCTAGTCTAAGGAAAAGAAGAATTAGGGGTTATCATGATAGTGGTGTTCCAAAGAAGAGGAGGGTCAAATTATTCTCCAAAGCACCACAGGGCAGGACAAGAAACAATGGGTGAAAACTAATCAAAGAGAGAAGCAATCTGGAATTAAGGAGAACCTTCCTAACAGTGAGGACAATTAGCCAATGGAACAGCTTCAGAAATCATGGGCGCTTCATCAATGGAGGTGTTTAAGAAGAG